AATGATTCCACCTTATCCCGAATGCTCTCTTGAAGCTGGGCACCCTAACACTGGGGTTACCCTCCCACTTCCCCTCCCAGGCCCCTAAATTCTCCACGACAGACTCTCTTGTCTCAATAATAATCCTCCTCCTTCCCCCACCCAGTGGGGCCAATTTGTTACAGAAACCTAGAACAAATAATCCATTACAAGAGCCCCAAATCATAGCCCGCCTATCACCCTCCTCCCCAGTGCATATAGTCCCTAAATTCCCACACCATCTAGTCCTTTGACATAGCACATACTACACGCCAGCATCTTCCACCACACCCAGGCTCTGCTTCAGTCCTCTCCCGTCTTCTGCCAGGACAGCTACCCCAGCCCTTTTAGCTGGAGTGCACCCACTCTTCCCAGCCTCTCAGCTGGCAGTTCATCCTCACCAGGGATGTGCTCATCACTCCCCCTGTTCCAGGAGCCTCTCATATCCCAGACAGGCCAACAGGTAGGCCCTACCACTGCTCCCTGGTCTTCAGCCCTCTGGGTCCAGTGTCAAGCATTGAGATACCAGCAGCTAGCTGCTCCACTCCTGCCCTGTCTTCAGCCCTTTCCAGCCTTTGGTGTTGGTGCTCCAGCTAGGACGTCAGCAGGCAACTCCCTCTGCTGTTTCCCTGACTTTGGCCCGCTGTCTAAACCCCTCCCCTGCTTTTAGTCTTTTCTGGCTCTCAGCTGCAGCTTGGAAGTCAGTCTTCTCCCCCAGGAACCTCCTACAGCTTCCTTCAAAGACTTCCTGCAGCATTGAGTCCCCCTGATCATTTATAGCCCCAGGTGCTACCCTGCCTTCTTAACTGGCCAAACTAGGAGCACCTGCTTTGGCACAGGGAAGTTGGACCTTCCTTATTCAGAGGGGCCAGCTACCTAGTGACAGCATCAAAAGATACATCACATTTAGTGCATGAAAATTGAGAGTTTTAATTTTGTCTTCGAAAGCTTATGCTCTTTATTGTTTTTTTAATTGTTCCCTTTTCCCTTTCTAAATAGTAATAATTAAAAGCAAATATTTTGACCAAGAGGTGTGATCAATTCTCCATCATTCAGAGTCTTTAAAGTAAGACTGGATATTTTTTTCCCACACTTATGCTCTACTTCAACCATAAATGGTGGGGTTTGATGCAAGTATCACTGAGTAAAATTCGCTGGAACTGTGTTATGCCGGAGGTCAGACTAGAAGATTGTAACTGGGGATTAAAATAGCTGAAGCTATGTAATGCTAATGAGTGTCAAAGTTCCAAAGGCTTCAAGGTCTGGTTCAGAGAAGCCTACATAATTCATACAAAGCTGATTCAGCGTTCTCCTCACTTTTCTGACTGAAGAAATCACACAGGATATCTCATGGAAATTGACTTTCTCATGAAATAACCTCTTCAGAATTTCCCCCCGGTCAGAGATCCCCCAAGATTAGCCTCTGTTATGGTAATTTGGTATTTCTGTTTCCTTCTGAGAGTAGGAAGTGGCCATGATGTATGACGGCCTCCATCTTGGCCTACACACTGGGGACCGGATCAATGATCTCCAGGGCTAAAAGCACAAGCTGCTACAGCTTGCGCTAACAAGTCAAGTCTCTGTAACTGGGGGCTGTCCCAACTCATATCCTCCAGGGTTCAATACAGAGGGGGACCTGTAATATGCGGGTTACAAATGACACATTATTTTAGATGTCAGCCGTGCTTCTACAGAGCTCAACAAATGTTTGGTTAGATCTGAGTTCTGGGTCAAGATTTCAGATGATGAAGCTGGGCAGCTGGACAACCCAGTCATCTATGGAACCCAGCAAAGCTCTGGTGGGCCCCATACCGGCCCCATACAAACTGTGCCTGGCTGCTTACTCAGCTACCATTCCCCCTATATGTCCCTTTGTAGGATCTTGTACTGACCTCCCCACCAGGGGTGAATTTCAGCTGAGGTAGGACTTGGGCTCTACATGAAGATTTACCTTTAGGGATTAGTGACTGGAGTGTGCATCTCAGTGTTTACATGTGCGTCACAGATTCCAAGGCCAGAAGGAACCACTGTGAGCATCTGGTCCAGCCTCCTTCATAACACAGGCCAGTGAACGTCTCCAAAATAATTCCTGTTTGAACTACCGCAGATATTTTAGAAAAAACAGTCAATCTTGATTTTAAAATTGCCTGTGATGGAGAATCCATCATTTGGGTAAGTTATTATTACTCTCACTGTTAAATATTTACACCTTATTTCCAGTCTGATTTTGTTTAGATCAGTGGTTTTCAACCTGTGGTCTGCTGATCTTTGGGGGTCCACAGACTATGTCTAAGATTTCCAAAGGGGTCTGCACTTCTATTTGAAAATTTTTAGGGGTCCACAAATGAAAACAGGTTGAAAACCACAGGTCTAGATTCAACTTCCAGCCGTTGGATCTTGTTATACTTTTGTTTGGTAGGCTGAAGTGCCCATTGTTAAATATTTGTTCCCCATGTAGGTACTTACAGAGTGTGAGCAAGTCATCCCTTAACCATCTCTTTGTTAAGATAAATAGATTGAGCTCCTTGAGTCTACCACTATAAGGCATGTTTTTCAATCCTTTAATCACTTGGGTGGCTCTTCTCCTAACCCTTCCAGTTTATCAACATCCTTCTTGAATTGTGGGCACCAGAGCTGGACACACTATTCCAGCAGTGCTTGCACCAGTGCCAAATGCAGAGGTAAAATTACCTCTCTACTTCTGTTTGAGATTCCTTTGTTTATGCATCCAAGGAGCGCAATAAGTCCTTTTGGCCACAGTGTTGCACTGGGAGTTCATGTTCAGCTTTTTATCCATCATGAACTCTTCAGAGTCACTGCTTTCCAAGACAGAGCCCCACCAGCATGTAAGTATGGCCTGCATTCTTTGTTCCTTTGCCCATATTAAAACACACATGGTTTGCTTGCATCCAGCTTAGCAAGCAATCCAGTTCACACTGCATGAGTGACCTGTCCTCTTCATTATTTACCACTCCGCCAATTTTTGCGTCGTCTGCAAACTTTATCAGTGATGCTTTTATGTTTTGACAATTTGCTCACTTATTTAGAAGGGTGTTAATAACATCGGAACGTGGGGCTAGATCTTCATGAGGTATAAGTCATGTGACTGTGGATTTAGGACTCTCGACGTAGACACCCATTCTGGGATATCTAAGCCCATGGTTTTGCGTATTTCCCTGAGTCTGACATAGCTCTTTAATTTTAGCATAGTCTGATCCATAATAATAATTGCCAGAAGTTTACCCTTTAGCGAGAGAAAGTGGGGGAAATTATTTGCACAAACGGAATGATAACAGATACTAAAAATAAACAACTGCAAGAACAAACACAGCCAGGCATTTGCTTTCTTATATGTTTTGACAGAGGTCCATCTAGGCATGTGAATGAATTGCTCACTCATGTAGAGCTAACAATAATTGGACTCCCCATAAGAAAAATACCTGGAAAATATCTGCCAAACCTATTTTTAACCATATTCATTGTCAGTAAATATTTACCTGTATTTAGTCCTTTGTTAAAGGCATTCCTCCCAGGCTATACAAATTCTACTGTTACTAGGGTTCTATGAATACAGCTATATTAATAACATGAGGCCTGATTCTCAGCTGGTATCAATCAATAACATTCCATTGACTTCAGTGAAGCTACACTGGTTTATACCAGCTGCTGATCTGGCACATGTATTCTATTTTCTACCCCAGAACAGGGAGACATTTTCATCTCAGCATTCAGCTAGCTCCCCCAAACCAGGTCATTTAAAACAATAATCACGTCACAGTTTGCTCGGTGTGAACCGCTTTTGTTCGGAATACTTCCCTGTCGCTTTAATTAGCATCCCAAATGGAAATCTTGTCTTGCCAGCCCTTACATACCACTGATTTGCAAAGAGCCCCTGGACCGCATCCCTGGCTCCCTTTTCACACGTGGGTGGAAAATAACAAGGTATCACTGACACACAGGCCGACAAATGGATAATGGAAGCATAGATTCCGAGGTCTATAATTTTTAATAATTTTTAAACTAGCTACAAAATGTCAATCACGTCACAAACTGACAGGAGACAGAAAGAATTTCATATTACATGCGGCAATGATATTTATCTCACAGTTGATCTAGATTTCATTCATGTAGGTTATTTTTCATTAAGTCAGCTACTAAACATCTCAGCGATTTGGTGTGCATAGCCCTAGGTAAGCAACAGAGAACTGTACTGATAACAAACCACACGAGGATAGCGACTAGTAAGATAGAGCCTTATAAAAATTACATCTCTTTGCATCGATTCCTATGGTAGTCGTTTCCTCCAAAAGATAAGTCTTCAAAAGCAACAGACAAACCCAATATATTACACCTAGTTCTTTTTGCCTTTGACATAGTTTCAGCCAAAGGTTCAATTTTACTGGCAATGATGAAATGGTGAGTGCCCAATCCATCTTTTTTTCCATAATTAAAAAAAATTGATCATGGTTAAAAACTGTATATATATCAACAAGAAAAAAGTGGCACTACTGCATACTTGCTGGTATAACACAGTCCCAATACCGAGCATGCTTTTGTTGTCATTTGTTGATGTGCTACTGCCATGGGAAAAAGTCTTGTTTAAGTAGGAGTCTAGAAGTCTAGTTATTTCTCATGCATAAATGCATAAATCACATCACTTTTTAGTGCAATGCTTGTTATAGTTATATAATTCCACATTGTCTTATCATGAAATCATAACAACAGATGACAGCAATGGAGAACAGAAGACAGTAAGTTTAAGTGATACCCAAAGACAGGAGTATGGCAGTAGCTCTGTGGAATGTCACAGTTTTACAAGAACAATACTGTATATTTAAAGGTTAACAGCACAGTTAGCATTCCAACATTGTTGTCATTCAGCAAACATCATAAAAGAAAAAGAAAAAGAAAGCAACCCAAAAGAGAGAGAGAGAGAATCGAAACCAACAAAAAAACCCAACCAAACAATCCCCCCAAAAGTGAGCTACAGCCATCAAATCAGCATTATGTACAACCTTTGGAAAGAAAGATATCTAGAAAAAAATAATTACAAGTATCATTTTTGGAAAGCTGACAAACTACACAGGACAACATTTACAATGGGGGCTGATATGTGCATGTGTGCAAACCTAGTAGGTAAATATCATGAGAAAAGCATGAAGAGACTGCCATCCGGGACAGTGCGAAGAGGGAAATGCACTACATGGCATTTAACCACTGCCCAGCATCTTTGTTGCACGTTGGTTGGCTTCATCAATCCTGGTTTTGTTGGAGTCAGCCTAGGGGAAAGGAAGGAAAGAAACAACTGATTACATAACAGAGAGAGAACATCTGCTTTGCTAAATATGTAGTAGAGTATTTCACCTATCGGGGCCCTCTCTGCTACCTACCTCTCTGCTTCCTGAGCCTGGCCAACTCAGGAAGGGGAAGCTCAGAAATACCATGAAATTGGCTGTTCTTGTGTTTTTTGGGGCCCAACAGGAAGACAGACTAGATTGTAGATTGGGTCCCTTTTGACCTTAAACTGTGTGATTCTGCGACTAATAGAAATCACCTGTTTGCATGGAATTCCCACCCGAATTTGCAAGCCCAAGAGGTTCAGGTAAACTTTGAGTAAGCATCTCACATTTCAAGTTTTTCTCTGAGCTTCCAAATGCTAGGCCACATCCCTAGCGGGTGTGAACTGATATAGCACCATTGAAGTTAATGCTAGGAATCTGACCCAGTTTGAAATTCATCCATCAACAGTTGTAACAGATGTGCTGTTTTTACTGACGTAAGGCTGCGTTCATCTTTGATATTATATAAGCATGTGGGATGTCACGGATCTGGGCTCTGCCCTGGCTGCATGATTATCTAAAACTTGTCCAGGCTGCCTAACACTTTTGTTTTTGTTGCATTGGCAAAGCAGCAGAGAACCCATCAGGACAGAGAGCTAGATTGTCCTTTCATATAAAGCCATTGAGAAGAGACAAGTTTCTTTTGAAAATATATCAGACTGAATCCTCAGGCCAGAGCAGCATTTGCTGCACCTGTGGTGGGAAGGGAAGAGGAGGTATTATGCCACCCTTTCACCCTTCCCACAAGATCCACTGGCACTGGTGCAAATTAGAGCAGCCTCAAGACCTCTCTAATTTTCATCAGCAGATAATAGCACAAAGGGGAATTGAGAGAGACCAAGGATCTGGCCCATCAGTTCCACTGCATGCTCTGGTATCAGACGTATACAAGGACTTACAATGCTCCCAATCCTTTACTCCTCACATGTGGTTGCACCTCAAAATCCCATTGACGTTAATGGGAATGTCAGGCAGGATTAGGTCCACAAAAAGAAGCAAAAAGATAAGATTTCTGGAGCCTCCTCAGACACCGGTTCTAAAAGAGACACTCAGCGCACTCCCTGCAACCCTTTGTAGAGGGGTCTATGTGGAAGGAAAGAGTCCAGGAATACAGGTTTCACCATCTTGGAGCTCCCTGGAATATCATTATAAGAACAGGATGGCAATTCCTTTCGAGAAATGTAAATATCATTTGAAATAATCAGACTGGATCTTATTGAACACAGCAGGTTAAATTCATCCTTCGTATGACGTTATTGTCGTCCAGGGATGCATCTAGCCCAGTAATTTTGAAAATTAGACAACTCCCCTCTTTTTTGGCACAGAGACACTTTTTTTGATTGGATCCCCTTTGACTGTGGCTTGTAGTAACTGCCCAAAGTCAGCTTTGGAGATAAAAGAGCATTATCTAAACGGAAGTCGACCGGCGCAGCTGTATCCAAGTGGATGTTGCTAGGCCGACTGACAGCAGCTGAGGATCTAGTCCCAAATGTTCTTCAGTGTCGATAGCCCAATGTATATAGGTATGGGAAGCAGGGTTGCCAGCTGGGGCTGTGTGTATTCCTGGAGGTTTCATCGCATGACATAATCTTTCATTCAAGATTCATCTTTAATTCCTGGAGCCTCCAGGACAGTCCTGGAGGGCTGGCAACCCTCTGGGAAGGGTGAGAATGGTGTTACTGCTCTGTTAGCATTCATTTCAAATGAGCAAGTGTCCGTTTCATTGTATTAGCTCGGTATTGTCTCAGTGTTGCTTTTCATGATGACTATCCAGATAGCAATATGGCGACACGTTTCTGTCATTTCAAGGTCTGGTCCTACTCTGACTGGTGTCGACGGGAGTTTTGTCCGTCATTTGTGTGGCCGGAGAAGCGGGACCTGGGTTTATAAAGATTTCTGTATAGAACAAACCCTGGTGGAAAAATTGGTGATGCAGTCTGAAATCATAGGTCTTTCTGGAGCCCCTTTCTAGCTCATTCCCAGGTACAAACACGCTGAGGAAGAGAACTTTTACCTCTCCTGAACAAACCAACCACCTCTCCTGTTATGATTCTCCTGAGCGGAGGCTAGAGCAATGGGTTCTAGGCCTGGCTCTGCCACTAGCCGGTTGGCTGTCCTTGGGCAAGTCACTTCCTTTCTCTGTGCTCAGTGTTCAGAGCTGCAAAATGGGGATACAGATAATCCGGCGAGCTAGATGAAAAGGCACTGGCTAAGAGTGAGGTAGTGTTATTTTACCTCCTCTGTAAAGCGTTATATCAGCGCTAGGTATTGTTTGTGTTTCTGCACCTTTGATAAAGTTGAGCCATTAATATTAGACTCGTCACCATTATCATGTTTTAGCCTTTGTAAGCTGATAATGACATGGTAGAATTCTTTATAAGCTATAGGTTAGAGAATGCCATGAATACTCCGATAACATTAATGCCTGACTCAGTCAATTGTGACGATTTTAATGGAGTACACTGAACCTATCTTTTTGGAAAGTGCATTAGTATTTCTGTGGTTTGCCTTTGTTGGTTAGCATCTACCGCGGTCTCCAATTTTCTGTGGCATATAAAATATGTTTTACTGAATTTGAGAGGTAAATACGGTTATCCCCTTTTTACAGGTGGGGAAACTGAGGCACAGAGTGGCACAGTGACTTGCCCAGACATGGGCCTTTCAAGTTCTTTTTAAAAGTGGCAAAATGGACATGCCGATAATCCTTTCTTTAGTGTTTGCTGCCTTGTGTCCCATAATTGATTTGACAAATGCTACGCAGAAAGATATTTTTAGTACAGTAATGAATGCAGTGCTACTTTGGTTTATCTGTGGGCCAGCCCCTCAGCAAGTGTAAATCTGCATAGGTCCTTTGACGTCATTGGAGCATTTGTACTGGATGTGGATTTGGCCCCAGGTATCTCTAGATATCTGCGTTTGTTCATGGCAAATGGTGCTTCTTTTGAAATGTTAGAATGCTGGAAGACCGTGAACAGTTTTCCAGGAAGTAACAGGAACAATGCTGGGGCAAGGTTATATTTCGTCAAAGACGAAGGCATGACAGTCTACTTGAAAATGGTAAAGGTAGCCATTGAACTCAGTGGGAGTCTTACAATTGACCTCAATGAGAGCAGAGGTAGGCCGAAGCAGAGCTCTTTTGAAAACCCCACCCCATATTTATGGCTCATTGTAACCCAAAGTCCTCTGGAGAATGTGTCAAATCTCCAGGACGTTCCTGAGTTTTTATACCTGGATCTCTGACTTAAGAGAGGGAAAGAGCAAAGGCTTTTATTTACCACTCTCCGTAGTTGGATAGGTCAGTCAAGAGCTCAGTCTTCTGAGGTAGCTTCAGGTTGCTCCCAGATCCAGCTTAAGTCCAGTGCCGTATAAGCACCCAGAGCTGGCATTGCTGTGAACCTCTGCTTTTACAGAGAGTGGCAGCGGGGGGATTTTTAATGACTCCTAGTGATCAAGGCTGCAGTTTCCCATCTCCTCTGAGTGACAGCCCCTTCAGCAGCACAGTGCCCCATACCACGAGGACAGACAATTAGTCCATTACTGAGGCCTGGTCCACACTAACCCCCCACTTCGAACTAAGATACGCAACTTCAGCTACGTGAATAACGTAGCTGAAGTCGAAGTACCTTAGTTCGAACTTACCGCGGGTCCAGACGCGGCAGGCAGGCTCCCCCGTCGACTCCGCGTACTCCTCTCGCAGAGCAGGAGTACCGGCGTCGACAGCGAGCACTTCCGGGATCGATCCGGGATCGATTTATCGCGTCTAGACAAGACACGATAAATCGATCCCAGAAGATCTATTGCTTACCGCCGGACCCGGAGGTAAGTATAGACGTACCCTGACTCGTGGGGAAGAGTCCTCCCTACTGAATTACAATCACCACTTCCAGGAGCACCTGGGTTTTCCCTCAAAGTTGACCTGATCCAGCTTTGCTGGCCTTAAATCTCATAGCTTGAAGTAATGTCAGTAGGGTTAGAGGGAATGGTATTGGTACTGTTCCTTGAGCCAAGGACTTGGTCAATTTAAGGATCCATTATTTTCTCTTGATCCAGAGTAGGGGGTTACCATGATATATTTGTGTGCTGCACTTACCCTGGTGAGCTGGGTGGTAGCCTATTTTGCAGTGTTGGTCTGTATTGCAGGTGTTTGGTTAGAATGAAGGAACATGCTATGGATGGGAAATGGTCTCTAGTGACAATAAACTTTAAGGAATGATGTTGGGAATTCACGCAGAGCTTGGCGCACAGCAAACACTGCCTCATTTTACCTTTTCAAAAATACAAAGCTTGCTCTGTGAGCGTGGTGTGCAGATCCACTATCCAGACGCACATGGGTCAGCGTTCTCAGCCAAAAGCTGAGAAGCCAAGAATCCTGCCAAGTCAGTGCTGTACCTCCGGCACATCTGTGTTAGTTTAAGAAGCCATGTCGTAGCCTTTGTACAGTGTTGTGTACCTAGCTGTGTAAGAGGTTTGCATAGAGGGCCAGATCCCCAGCTGGTATAAATCAGTGTAGGTGAAATAACGCCTGAACTACATCCATCTCACCTACAGGCTTTGCCTATACAAAGTGCCTAGCCTATGTTTTCAATATCAGTCAGGATGTTTTCTAAGCAAGAACTGGATCCAGCCCAGCAACGGGATATTCCTAGCTAGTATTCAGTGCATCGTTACGTCCCGTAGGCACAAATGCCACACACCAAAATTTCATCTGTGTTAAATCATCTACTGGTAAGATTGTGTGAGTGTCATGCTACTGTTGGCTGCTAGCATGGCATCGCATGCGCTCCTGCACTTCATCTAAAAAACCACGTGTGTACTATGCCTCCCATTTCCAAGACAGATATGACACAGGCCGTGCAATACTGTGATCCCTTCTCCTATCACAGATAGGCAATTTTCATTCAACATTGAGCTGAATATTTGCAATCACATAACGCCCCGTGTCAGTTTTCCTCACTCCAGAAGTGTGAAGTTTTACAAGTGGTGCCGTGAAAACGGTCGGGCGTTTGTCAGTGTATCCCAGCTCCTTTTCTTTATAAGGTTTAGATTGCTGGTCTGAAGTAAATGTGTCCTTTACATAACCTGACCCACCCTGATGTCTGTCACAGGTGCAGTCACTGTCATCAAATCATGAGGCCCTTCATTCATTGCTTCATGGGCTTGCAATCTGACAAGGAACGTCACAAAGTGCTACATGTCCCAGAGTGTCCGGGTGCAGGAACAGTTTGAGAGCCATTGAACAGGTGAGAGCCATTGAACCAAACTGTCAACCCTGTATTTAATGGAAACCACTTCAAGCCAGGGGGTGCAGCAGCCCCCCTGGTTCCAGCACTTATGCCTGAGTGCGATTATGTCTTGCACTTGGCTCTCTGATTTAGTCAATGGAAAAGCACGTGTAGCCACTTCACTCCCTATTGGCCCCCCAAATGCGGAGGCTCAGTAGTGCAAGTTATTCTGGCTTAGGTCAGCATTAACTCCTTGGGCCAGATCCTCAGCTAGTGTAAATCTCCATTGAAGTCAATACAGCCACAGTGATTTACACCACTGAGGTTCTGCCCCCTTATTTTCCTTTCAGTTCCTTTCGGGAGATCTGCCAATACAAAGGCAGGAACTATGTGGATCTTCGGATGTGAGGCTGCTAATGGAGTCTTAGTTAAGCATGGAAGTTGCTGTCAGCTCTTTGAATGGAAAAAGAGACCCAAACTCCAAAGCTCTGCAGTATGGGTCTGGTGTTGGAATGGTGGCCCTGACATTTAGCAGGCATGGTTTTAATAGTGATTTCAAATGTAATATTGATGTAGTAGCACCCAGAAGCCCCAGTCAGGGAGCAGGGCCCTTATGTGCCAGGCACTGTTTACATACCCAATGAAAAGACAGTTCCTGCCTCAAAGAACTAACAATCTCAGGTTCGGATGAGAGGTATGTGTGCCATCACCATGCTAAGATGAGGCCCCATTCTCCTCTATGGGAGTTATTCCCATGAAGGAGGATGGGAATTATAGGTCTTTCATGGAGTTTCCTTTGAATTCTTCCATTGGAAAGGGGGGGGGAATTTAACCTCCCCTACCCTGGAAGTGCCAGAGGGTTCAGCCTTCACCCCAGCGCCAAATCTGTAGATGTCTGAGGACTTCTACATTGCAATGCACCCTCCTTCCCCAATCCCCAAGCTCCTGCAGGAGCCATACGGAGCTATGCTGTCCCCCAACTGCTGCGGCCCACAGCGCAGAAGGGCCAGCGGCACAAGTTACTGGAGACTCGTCAGCACAGGGGTGGCCAACCTGTGGCTCCGGAGCCACATGCGGCTCTTCAGAACTCAATATGCAGCTCCTTGTCTAGGCACCGACTCCGGGGCTGGAGCTACAGGCGCCAACTTGCCAATGTGCTGGGCGGGGGCTCACTGCTCAACCCCTGGCTCTGCCACAGGCCCTGCCCCCACTCCACCCCTTCTTACCCCCTCCCCTGAGCCTGCTGTGCCCTCGCTCCTTCCCCTCACCCCCAGAGCCTCCTGCATGCCACAAAACAGCTGATCGGGAGGTGCGGGGAGGGACGGGGAGGTGCTGATCGGTGGAGCTGCTGGTGGGCGGGAGGCATGGGGGGGGAAGGTGATGGGGGGCTGCTGACGTATGACTGTGGCTCTTTGGCAATGTACATTGGTAAATTCTGGCTCCTTCTCAGGCTCAGGTTGGCCACCCCTGCTTTAGCAGCATGCACTGCTTTGTCCTAAGGATTGGTTTTTTTTGGGTGGTGGGGGGGAGAATCTGGCAGAGATCTGCCAGCTCCTGGGCCCAGCTCCCTCTTCCCAAAGCCAAAAAAAATGGGTCTCTGCAGAGTAATTGCTGAAGGGTCTCTGTGAGGTTGGAGGTGGGGAATTGGCAGGGTGCTTCAGGTGAAGGCTTGCAGAGAGGAGTGTGTGGGGCGGGGCATTCTGTCTGGCACTGCCTGCTGGGCAATGTGACTTGTTAGGATTAGTATGGAAAAGTTGTTAGTCCAAGAGGCACATGAGCCCTCACCTTCTCCATGATCCTGTCAATTTGGCGGTTCTGTGTGTCAATCTCGTTGCCCATATCCAGGGCCATGTGACGGAGATTTCCAATGATGCCGCTGACCTGCTCAAGGTTTTCGTCCATTTCGCCTTCTCGGTCATCATTTGTTACCCTGTGAGGGAATACACAATTCTTTTGAGTGGAGATGGACTCAACCAGTCTGGGTACTTATGCAGCTATCCAGCGGCCCTCGTCCATTCAGCCCTGCCAGCTACTACCCATCCCTACATCTCCCTTCGCTTTGGAGCTGTTCAACCTTCCTCTGGGCCATTCACCATCAAGCACTCTAATCCCGCCACTGCCAGAAGTACTGCTCGCAGTGCTGACAGATTAAATCTGGGCTGTCACTACCAGCTGTGTTGCCTTTAGTGATGGTTCTTCTGAGCATTGCTACTCTTGGACTTGAGGTTTTGCCTATGAGTGGACAGAATATTTGGGAGCTACCCGTGGGGTGCTGAACAAAGAGAGCCCATCCACCTGTTACCTATGCCTAACTCATGATGACAGTGCTGATCTGGCAGATTTGAGACTAATCAAAGCACCACGGAGGAGCCTTTGGCTTAAATGATGAATTTTTAAGTAATTAAAAAAATAAACAAGTGCATCAAATTTCTCTTGGATTCATCAGCGTCAGTATAAATTTCCCCCATTAATCCCATCTGATCTTTGCAGCTTAATGAGAAAATTCTAACTGGTGGTGAGCAGACCTTGCAAAAGAACTCAGCCACTAAGTCTTGAATTATGCATCAGCTCTAATAGTTGGCCAGTTATGCAGGGAGTTACTGGTCGGTGATTCAAACACTGGAAAAAGCTTGGCCCGCTTGGAAAGTGACTGCTTTTCACCATCTCCTGTGTTTCTTAATGGATCACAAAAGGTGGCAGATGGATAACCCTGAAGGCAGATGTCTTCCGTTTATCCACAGAATAAATACGGCCCAGGCAACAGCAGGGTAAGCTTCCCCTGTGATATTCCACCACTGTGCCACATACCTGACTTGGAGGGGATGCCCTCTAGGGGTGAAAAGGTAAATGGCAGTCTCAGTGTACTTAAATGGCAGCTGGGTCCCATTGTGGTCAACATCCTAGAAGATTACGGTTGGAAGAGACCTCAGGAGGTCATCTAGTCCAACCCCCTGCTCAAAGCAGGACCAACACCAACTAAATCATCCCAGCCAGGGCTTTGTCAAGCCGGGTCCTTAAAACCTCTAAGGATGGAGATTCCACCAGTCCCATCACAGTACACACATCTCCCTTCATCCCAGTATCCAAAAAGCGAGTGGTTAGTAGAAGAATATTTACCTATTAATCTAGTTACCTCAGTCTTCATAGAGCAAAGCTTTGCATACTGGTAGGCCTTTCTGTGGAGCCGCTGTCATTATGAACTTAACTGATAGCATTGCCACCTACATATCTGTTTTATAGACACTGTAGTCAATATTTACTTACCACCGTCTCCTTAGCTAAAAGAGAAGGTTAGCCGGTGGGAAGCCAACTCAGCACGTTTTTCTGTTACCAGTGGATTTCATTTCAGCACCACATACCCAGAGGTGGCCATTACATGGCAACATTAACCTGCAGTTAGTGCACCACAGCATCCCAGATACTGCCCTTTGGCCCCAGTTCAGCAAGGGGCATCAGACTGTACATAACTCTAAGCTTTGGGTAGTTCCACTGAAGACAACAGCACCACTCATGTGCTTTAAGTTATGCACTCACTTGAGGGCCTTGTTGAGTGGGAGTCTGCACCGCTATTCATTTAGGGAACATCTCCATAGCATGCAACGTGAGCCTTCCACCCCAGGCTGACAGACTGGGGCTGGTGGGGCTCATGGTCCCATCCTAAAGGTCGCTGTGCAGGTGTTGCACCATGGGCTCTGGAGCCTAGGGAGTGGTGTGAACATCAGAGCCTGTGCTCCAGCCTCTAGTCCAAGCCACCACTTCACAGTGCTGTCTACACAGCCATTCTTGCAGACCTAGTGTGAGCTCTGCTAGCCCAAGCCTGTCCACCCAGGCTGGGAGGTTGGGTGTAGACGTACCCTTAGATAGAAAATAAGGGGTTTTAAATGTGGTGGTGCACTCCAGTGCTGATGCTCAATGATAACCACTAGGCAGCTTGGAACAGTAATAATAAATTGGCATTTATAGGACACTTTTCATCTTCAAAGTACTTTGCAATCATTAATTACTTAGACCCCCCTCCCTTTTTTTTTGCATAGTGTTGTGCCCATGCAGAAGCCCGTTAAAGTCAATGGGGACCATGTGGGCACAGAAGTCCACCCATGTGCTACACTTTGCAGGTTCAGTGCCTGAGTAGTAGCAACTCCTTGGTCAAGTAATTATTATCATGAGTCCCATTTGACAGCTGGGGAAACTGAAGGAGAGAGATTAATGGCCACTCAGTGTGGGTACATAGGGCCTGATTTTCAGATCAGCCCAGCACCCACAAGTCCAACTGAAGTCAACGGGAATGGCTGGTATTCAGCACCTCTGAAAATCACAGAGCGCCAACTAATCAGTAGAAAATGTTGGCCTAAGTAACTTCCCCAGTGCCACAGAGTGAATTAATGAAGAATACAGGATTTTGGACCATATGGAAGAAATCTAAATATATCAGCACCAGGGAAAATAGAAAGAAAACTGGATAACAAGGCTCACCTGCGGATAAAGCCACCGCTGATGGCCATCTGCTCCCGCTCATCCACAACACGTGCAGGCTGGCTGGCTACAACCCCATCTTGATTATTGCCCCAGGCTTTTTTGTAAGCATCACTTGATTTAAGCCTATGCAAAAAAGAGGGTGAGCAACAAAGCACCAAGTAGAAAGAGACAAGTGCAAAAATCTTTACGTCTCCAAGCTAAGAGCTACATCAAGCAAATGAGTTTTAAGATAGAGGGGCATTTATCGTATACCGATATATCATAAACCTCAACAAAACTTTTTTTTTTTTCACTGCCACAACAACTAGAGTGCTCCGAGATTTCGTTTCCAATAGAGCGAATTGCAATTGTCGAGTCTGCAACATTGCACACTGGGTTTTGGAACAAAAAACCAAAACAAAACAAAAAAGAATAAAAATAACGATAACGGGGAGAACATTCAATTGTATTACAGCAACACTTGTGTACTTCGACATAAAACACAGAGGACACACTGGCAGACAGACATAAAAACAAAACTGCCAAATATAGTGTGTACATCACATCACAGCAACACACTGGCTTAGAGAAAAATAGATTAGGCTAGATTTTAACACATTCTCATGCAAAAGAGTCCTTTTAAAAAAAATATCTGTGGCATAGTGGGCATCTCAGGCCCTAACCTTTCCAATGTTTTTTAAAGTATATAGCGTTGTGGGAGGAGGGACTTGGTTTTAGCGTTTGAGTCAGTGAGTGTAATTTCATTAGATTTCTAAATAATATATCGGTACTTGAAAATAGTAACCATACATCGACAGTTGATGTACAAACCTTTGTCCACAGAGACAAAAAGTAAAATAGGCAGAAGTGGGATGAGTGCAGGAGAAAAGAAATACAAGCAAACTAGCATCAGAAAGGGAAATTCCTCTACACTTTCTTCATGCACCAGCTACAGGCATGAATAAGAAGTGAAGCATTCTCATTAAGCACAACTGCCCCAGTGGTTCATCATACTCTTAATGCACCAGCAGTAACAGCCTTCACAATGAGCAACGCCCAGGCAAAAATAGATCTTGGCCTTCTTCAGGAACCTGAAACCTCAGGACTTAAAAAAATTGCCTTCCGACAGGTCATTTCTTTAGCTTATGCAAACTTTCCAAGAGCCATTTTTGACTGAGCCGCCACATGAGAAAAATTAAAATCCAGGCATACCGGCAGTAGCAGATATTAAGATGTGCAGCATACTTTGGGTTGTTCTGACACGAAAGTGATCAGAGGCCTTACATAGTGGAAATCGTGAGCTTTTTGGGTCTGTAACCAAAGAACTTCATTTTGTTCCAGAAATTGAGCCTGTTTTCAGCCAAGCTCTTGGGAATGACCAATTCCAATTTCCCCTGTTCTGCACACGCCTATGACTGTGCGTGAGAAACAGCCCTGCACCTGGCGCTTTTGTGGAGGGAGTGAACAAACTTTAAGATGAATTGGGGAGGTTACTGAACTAAGCTTTAGATACTCCCATCATGTAATTCCACACTCCCTGGAGCTGCCAGGAATTTGTTTTGTGCAAAGCTGTTACATACCAAAAGGGTATCGATAAAACACCATTGAAGGGGATTTTCCGGAGAGTCATCAATTCTGCTGTTTTTACCTCTTAGAATTTAGTAAGACAAAAGAAATGGAGGGTTTTTTGCTAGGTGAAATGTATGATACACCATCATTTCTGGAAATGAATTAGGGAAATGTCTCCAAACAGGTCTAGTGATTATCACCCCAAATGCTGCACATAAGAGTTATTGCTATGCATTTTCTTTTAGACCTTTGCCACATGCAGAGAGTAAGATATCTCCAGTGAGTTCTTAGATCCCACCCAGAGCCTCCTCCCACGCTTTTTGTGCATGCCAACCTCCCATCCAAAATCGATGGGTGAATCCTGGCCCCATTGCGGCCAATGGAAGTTTTACCATTGACTTCAATGGGGCCAAGATTTCACCCAATGAGAATTTTGGCTGCTAAAGGAATGTAGGAATGGGCCCTAAATTAGAACACATGGTTCATTGAACATTATTTACATGTAGCAGGGAATTATTATATGTGAAAGTGTCTCCTCATTTATGGCTACCCAGGAAAAGGAATTGTGGGAACATGTAGTGGTGTTGGTATTTAGGCCCTTATGGATTTTTCTTCCTGCCAAACGGCACTTCTAAGAACAGTCGCCCTTTCTAAAGCAGTTGATTCCCGGCTTGATGTCTGTGAGAACTGCCGCTAAAAGCAATATGAGCCCAATTCTGCTGCCTTAAAACGCGAGTACCCCCATTTAATGGTCGTATCACTTGCTTATTGAGCCACTTGTGTCTGGCTCCATGTGTTACTTTGAAAAAGTAATCTCAATTAATAGTACAGTGACACCTTTAAAAACTAATATGTACCACCCCCAAAACCTGCAGGATCCTTTCTGTATGCACTCAGGAGAGTCCATGGTACTGCCATCACCGTGAAGTGGTAAATATTTGAGGGCCAAATTCTTAGGCAGTGTAAACTGATACAGCTGTGTGGGTGCCAATGGAGCTAAGCTGAATCACACCAGCTGATGATCTGGCCCTGAGTTTTTAATGGCTGTCCTGACAGATGGTACAGTCAAAAAGTCAAGCTTTACTGCAATATCCCATGGGATTTTCTGTACTTAAAGGGCTAACTTGTGGCATAGGGTTTGCAGCGGATTCCCTCCCCAACAGGAACTCCCAGAGGCATTGTTCCTATCTCGGGTACAATGACTCCAGGAGAGCTGGGAAAATGTGGCTGCTGATCTACCCTGTGAAAGGAAACAGCATGTGCTCCTTCCCTGCAGCTCCACACCCCAGTGCAGAGGAGAGGCAGGGCTAGAACCGAGACTCCACACCACTGCTAGAGTCCAGGTGGCAGGTAGCCCCTGCATAGGGCATATGAGTGTCTCCTTGAGTTCTCTCCCCAACACCACCTTGTGCACCCAGGCAGGGTTAAACATACTCTGGGGCAACATATATACCGGAGCGGGTATTTATACCTTAGTGCAGCAAATCAGAGTAAGAAAACTGACTTTTTAAGCTCAACCACTGCATTTATGTCCCGTTCCCCTCTTTCAAACAAATACCAGTATTACATTTCCTCTCAAGAAATTAACTTTAAAAGAGAAAAATGCCAATTCTGCTGTTCTTACGCAGGGAAAATTCCCAGGGAATTCTAGGGGAGTTTTGACCAGTTTTGCCTGAGTAAGAACAGCAGTATGATAAGACCCCAGTTGTGAACTAAATCAAGCCCCTCAGAAGACTGTCACATGATATAATCACCCCACCCTCAGTGAAACCTTTGGGTTGGTTAATTATAAATGTATTCTCCATAACCCTCTCTTCTCAATAACCTTCAAATTGCCTGACTGCATGCTAGGTCTTTTATCATCGAGAAATCTGGTCTTTCCAATGTATTTCCTCACTTCCTTACCCACCCAACCACAGATCACATTTTTCTGCTGCATTTGAAACAAACTTCGTTGTACTCGGATAAGAGTTTCATTTGAGTGTGATGGCATGCAAGCAAACTAGACACATTTCAACATTTCTGCTTAGTGTACGCTCTACCCAACAGAGAGAAATTTTGTATGACCAGTTCAGTGGTTCTAAAATTTGATTTTTTACAACAAGATAGTAAATACTGTAGGTTGGGATCAAATTGCAAAACAACATGTCTCTTTCAAGATCATGTCAAGGGAGATATCTGCTGAGCAATGAGAAGATAGTGATTTCTCGTCCATAATTGTTAGAGATATTTGTCCCAAATGAGCTCTTCTGCATGTTTGAGCTATGAGTCTTAAAAACTTTATTAAGCTTGATCATGACAACATGTGTTTTAAAATTTAGGGTCTCCAGAAAAAAAACAGCCCTGATGTTTGTCAAGTAGGTAGTAGTCCCACAGAGTACACTTTCTGTAAAATGTTGAAACTTTTATCATTAAAAGGTGTTTACAGTAAAGCTTTCACTGCAGTATGCCTGATTTTAATGCATCTACAGTAATTCCCACTGAATTGTCTACACTATGAGATGAATGCATTGGAACCAGAATCGTTCTATCTGCATGCCACATGCTCATCCTGTCCATGTGTCTAGCAAGGATGAGCGTCACAAGGCTTTCAAGATCGGCCTTGAGTGCTCAAAAAGATTCAGGCAGGCAGGCAGCACCTACTTGTTACATGGACAGACACAAAGACCACAGAATTTTCCTAGATCCGTCAAATTCTTTTCTGCTTCTTTCATGTCCTTATTGATTTGGTCCATTCCCTCTTCGATGCGTTCCAGTTGTTCTGATTAAACACAAGTATTTTATCCCCACAGAATGAAGCAGATGGAAAAGGACAAAGAAAAAAAAGACAAAAAACTTCAGACATTCACTGTGACAAAAAACTGGACACCACATAGCAGAGCCGGTACCCAGTACCTACTTGTTACAAGGACATATGAAAAGGCCACAGCATTTCCCTAAATCTTTTAAATTTTTCTCAGCCTCCTTCATGTCTTGGTTGATATGGTTCATGCCTTCTTCAACACGATCGAGTTGTTCTGGTCAGGACAAAGGGATGACAGCATGGAATGAATTGTATTTTTGTTGCTTGTTTGTTTGTCTTCAACAGAACATGAGAAATGACCATGGGAAACTGAATTAATAGCAATATTACAATGCATTAATCTGGGCTGATGCATTGCTGCTGGGATGTATGCCAAGCTAGATGCTGAAGTATGATGCCTTTTACTAACATAAGTAGAGTAAAGCAAAACAAAGCAAAAAAAAGAGAGAGATGTTTGAAATATATTAAACAAGATGTAATGATGTAGAAAGAAAACACGATCATAATCCTGAAAGTCCAGAAACATAATACAGTACATCCACTTACTAAGACACCAATGACATCCAAGAAAAAGAAAGAGATAGGGTTATCATCTTGCATTTATGCACATTAATAAAAGAGAGAGTCTCATTCAATGGACAATACCTTAATTACTTACACTTACAAATGCCTTTAAATTAGATGATTGACAATGTAACTGGTTTGATTTGTGGGTGAGTAAGTGAGGGAACAGTTAGTAATGATGTTAGGGTTGGGTATGAGCTGTCAAGTTCAGACCTATGTCCAGGTACACATGTTTGCAGGACTGGGGGAGTTGAGATCCAGAAACTTGGTTCTGGTCCATCTCTAATCAGAAAATTCTCCTCTCTGGGATTCTGTTGTAAGTCAGTAATAACGCTGCTGGTGTCAAGGGAGTTATGCAAATCTAGAGACCTGGACCAATGCTCATTGAAGATAATGGAAAGATTCCAGTTGACTTCAATGGGCTTTGTATTAGGTCCCTCAATGAAGTTCACAACAATTTGTTATGCCACTATAATTCCATTTATTTTAATGGAGTTACTCCAGATTTGCATTAGAACTAGTGAGTGAAATATCCAGCCCAATAACGTGGTTTATACAGACACTGTGCTGCTTCACTGACATCAATGGAGTTCTTGTCTACACTAGGGCTGAATTTGCTGCACGTTTTTCTAGGTGACTCTGTGGCTGAGAATAATTTCACATAGTCATTTCTTTACTGAAACTAAAGCTGAAAAGAAAAAGTCCAAAGCAGGTAATATGCAGTAATGTAAAATCCTAGGCCCAGGTCCTTAGGTGCTGCAAATAGTCATAACTCCATTGAGATCCTGGATCTTAACTTTGACTTCAACGGAGTGATGCCATTTTGCACCAGCTGAGGTTCTGGGCTTTAGTTTTCTTTTAAAGGGAAAGAAGTATCATGTGTTGGACAAAAATTGCTTTTTTAATCCATCAAAACTTTTAGTCAATTGAAGCAATCCTGGCTATACACAAACAAGGAATGATTAACAATGGTTAAAAAGGTTGAATTCACATTTCCTGCATTGGATAGAGAAAATACATCCAGACATTTCCGAGTGTTAGATCTGAGGGGGAAAAAAGGACTACAGAACACAAAAGTGCAATAGAAGTGCGATGTGATGCCTGAATTTAAATGGACCATGTCAACATAAAAATAATATATTTTAGAAACGAGAGCCCAGTCATGCCTCCACTGAAGTCAGTGGAAATCTTCTATTGGCTTCAGTGGGAAGAGGAGCAGACCTCATTTCTTCCTTGGGATTCTGATAACACTTTGAGATTAAGGTTTTCAAAGTGTCCTAGGGTATTTGGATGCCCATATCCCATTACAATTAATTTAATGTATTTTAATTAATTTTAATGGGAGTTGGGCATTTTACCCATAATCTCAGCCCCAATTATTTAAGATGAAAGAATTCTAAACATTGAATTTACCGTTCAGTATATACACTATTTACATTTTTTCAATTTGAAAGTGAAAGTAGGTGTGTCAACAGGCTGTATGTTGGTTTCACTTTTCTTGGTCTCATCCCCTATTAGGATGTTTATGTGTTTGGGTTCCCAGCAGTGCGGGGAACCAGTGCCGGCTCCAGGCACCAGTGCTTGAAGCAGGTGCTTGGGGCAGCCAATGGAAAGGGGCGGCACGTCTGGGTCTCCGGCGGCAATTCGGCGGCGGGTCCCTCGGTCCCTCTCGGAGGGAAGGACCGGCCCCGAAGAATGAAGTGGCATGGTAGAGCTGCTGCCAAAGTGCTGCCAATTGCGGCTTTAACTTTTTTGTTTTTTTCTCCTTTGCCGCTTGGGGCGGCAAAAAAGCTGGAGCCGGCCCTGAGGGGAACTGTCTGAATCTAAATTAAACCCTACATTTTGGGGCCTAAATTACCTGACAGTGTTCTTTAGAAGGAATACACTTCACAGGGTTCAAGAATTAAACATTGATATGAAAACCTGAGCAACGTATTTCACCCGCTTTGTCAAATAAAACTGTTGAATGAAGAACCAAAAATAAAATGGTATTTTGCTTTGAGAAACAATATAATATTGATGTTGAGGCTTAACAGAAGCTTTGCTCTGACAATTATCATTAGAGTCCTCACATACTGAACGTAACTATCTTACTTGATCATCAGTTCTGTCTTAAAGTGGCACTTTGGTCGGAAAAGTGACCATGTGATGTAAAAATGGCATTTCTGCTCACCTGCTCTGCTCCCTGGGTATTCAAAGTCCTACCTGCTGCTGACTGTTTGGCTAACGCTCTTTAGCTCTGAACAGCCCTTGCAGCTATGGGAGTGTGAGCTGGATTCTATTCTGACTCATGCATCATGTCAAGAATTGCTAGCTAAGTCCCAGTTATGGGTTACTTATTACTGGTGATGATGAAACAACTGGACTTGCTGATGCCAGACGGGGCTCTCAGTTAGAAGAACCATCTTTTTACTTGAAAATGTTGACATGGCAATCGTTGAGAGAGGCAATCCATACAGAACCTTGTGGTGCCATTTGTACAGTTACTTTTCAGAGGATAACTGCATATATGTTCTTCACATAATTTGACCAGTAGAAAGCACTGGGGTAAGGCAGCAAGAGTCAATCACAGATCAAATATGAATGATGAACCTTGAGAATGATCCTGCATTCCTCACGGAGGCAAACACCCTCTGAAGTCAAGAGTAGGATGGGGCCTTTGAACTTTTACTCCCAATAGATTCCCCATAATGTCTGATTAGGCAAGGCTTAACAGAAGGGTGTATTTTATATGGCTCAAGGACTTATCTTTAAATGATACTTCTCACCTCAGCTCTGCTTTAATTTATCATACTTCAGTATTTGTGAGTGTGCTGCTGTTGGTGATTTCACTTGATGGCAGCCTTCATCAGAGCTTATGCTATTCCCGAGGAACAAAGGGACGCACAGGCAATCTAGCTTCCATTAAGGGAAACCTCAGCAGTCCAAAAAGCCTGTGTTGCACTAGTAGCCCAGCAGTCTAGACGTCTGGCTGCTCCTTCTAAAACTGCTGGTTTAATTTAAACCCAAGAGGCCAGATTCTTAGCTGAATTAAATCAGCCTAACTCCCAAGGAGCAATGCCAGTTTACACAAGCTGGAGGCTGGGCCCCCAGGCAAGACGGATAAACAGACTCTTGATCCAGATCACCGTTACAGTGGAATAAAAGTGAAGTGGGGTTATTGTGGGTTACGTGGGTATAACAGAGATCAGAATCTGGCCCAGATTGTTTTTTTTTTAAATTGATACAAAAGGTGAATGTCATATATATTTTACTGGTTTCCCCTAATCTACCAGTCTCTCTATTGTACTAAATCAGCTGGGACAGAGGCTATGACAATTTGTACTAGCAAAGGGTCTGCTCCCAAGCGATTTAGTGTAACAGACTCTCCATCTCAAATGGCTATAAATGATATGAATTCCAGGAATCCAGTCTGGAGATGATGACCACACAGATCACCATGGCCAGAGCCTTATCTGAGAGAGACAAGGGTGCAGTCTCCTAATAAGTGGACAGAGAAGGCAGCTCTCGACACTGGCACTGTCTGGTCAGTGAGTGTCATGGATGAACCCACAGGATCCTTGAAGTTTTGCCCCACAGTGACCAATGTGGTACAGATGGGAGGGAAGCCAGTGTCATGGCTAGTTCTTCAAAGCACTTCCCCCGTCCTGGTCAGCATCATTGCGTCGTGCCAAGGGGTAATTTGAGCCAGTTGTTGTTCTTCCAACTGTTGACGTCTCTGTGACAGCGTTGGCGCCATCTGTGGAAAATGAGCTACGGCTGGGTGTGACTGGAGTGCTGTCGGCAGCAGAATTCTGGCATCTCACTACCACTCCAAGTAGTCGCATGTAGGTACTGAAGGGGATGGGGACAAGATTGATCCCTGTCGGACGCCTCAGGTGGAGTTGTCACTGTTCTGTCCTCTTGGAGAGGACTGATTGGAACCTTGGTAGTTATGTCAACACCTTCTCCAGCTCCACCCTGAAAGTCGGCCAGCAGTTCCTTTTGCTCAGCTGTGTCAAAAGCTGCAAGGAGGGCAAGTAGTAGGAGCACTGAAATATGATCTCTGTCCATTGCCATGTGGAGGTCATCCAGTAATGCTGCTAGGGCTGTCTCCATACTGTGACCGGGTCTGAAGCCCAGTTGTGATGTATCCAAGGCAGTGGCAGATGTCACAGGTTATTGGAGCTTGGTTGTCACTGCTTTCTCAGCAGTTTCCCCTAGAAATGGGAGAGGAGAGGTGGTCTGCATCAAGGATTGGGTTTTTGAGGTCTGGTCAGCCCAGGGCATTTTTCAATGGGGTTGATGGGTTCTCTTCTCTAAAGGGTTGATGAGTCCTGCTTGCTGCTGGGCAGATTTGTTCTTTGCTAGCTTTCACCATGCAAGAGGGGCAAGGATCTGTTTTCCAGGTGGTG